GTAGCTCTATGGCTCTTCACACCTTTACAGTGTGCCCAAAAAAATGGCATGCCGACAAAGCAATTGCTTAAGGCCTCACTTATTGCCACAATGAATTTTGTGCCATAAAGCTCTTGTGAATGCCTAAGTTTGAGGTGAGAAGATTTAAAGCCTATAAGCCACGAACAAGGAGTACCAAAGAGACACCTGTTTTATTTAGTGTTCTACACAACCCAAGGGGAAATCTTGAAAACTTTCTGTTTGCTTGGTAACAAGAATCAATACCTAAATGTGAATACTTCACAAAACTTTCTAGGAGCATTATTTCCCTTATCCATAATCACCAGCAGCCCTATGCAAGTGCAATCCTGTCTCAAATTCAGCACCTACTCTCTGGCTTCAAGCGCACCTTCTTTGGTTTGGAGCTGCCTCCCCTCTCTCCTGACCCCAAAGCATATGTTCCAGAAAAAAAGGAAGCCCTAGGGGAAAAAAAGTTTGCTTTTAGAGAGGAGTTTGCAATTAAACGCTTTGGAACATCTTAGAACAACTGTATCATTCAAATAAAGCCATGAATGTATTGCACGCTTACTTTATGTATACAAAAGGTACCACTGCATTTCTGTTCCGACAAGACAGAATCCTCACACAAAGATCAAAAGATTTCTGACACAAAAGGCTGTCTCACAACAATAAAGCAATCAACTTTCTTTTTAAGCAAATGTAGCTGTATTGCAAATGAGAATGGCTGAGGACTTGCCCAACAAAATTAAATTTAACTTTAAAAGAATGCATTATACTGACGCAGTGCTAGCCAGAGAAACATAAAAACATATTCGTACGCCGCAAGCAGGCCTGAAAACAATCAGCCTATCCAATGCCACCAAATGAATTTCATACTGTCAGCCTGGTGCATCACAGCAATTTCAACAAGATTCTGACCTCACAAGCAAGAATGACATACTTAATGACAGCTCCAAAATCTAAAGAAACTTTGACTATGTTGAAAAAGGCCTCCAACGCTTTTTCTTAAAAGTAATGCAGAAATAAAGTATTGCACAAAGCCAGAGAAACAATTCCAAAGCAGCTGTGCAGTCAGTACACCAAGTGCACACAGAAGTGAATCACAGCAAAGTGCATGAGTTGCCCCACACCAATTAAGACTACCTAATTGTTTTGCGACGTTTCCTTCCCACCCACCAGCTCACTCCGAAATAACTAATTCTGTTTTCATTCTCCGGGTGAAGTTGCCACCACACCATCCACACCCACATCCGACTCACATAAACTGTCTGTTAAAAAGCAGAATCCAGCAGAGGTCAGAAATGGCCCCAGACAGGAAATGCCTGGGTGTATTCCAGCGAGGCGCTGCACTGCTTCTCTACACGGAGGCAGCCCAGGTCCCAGGGTCACGCTGCTGTGCAAACTTCATTTGAAAGCGCTTTCCTCCTAACTTGCACTATCGTTCCTCGAAGTTACTGTAAGAAGGGACCTTGACACTCACTCACATCTACTCGCCCTGCTGGCATTCGTAATCAGATATCGCAAAAGTATTTTGAAATAACTTTTTCCACGCCTTCTGCCATGCAAACTGCGAGCATCCCCACGTTCTCTCTGGTGCCTCCGGAGCAGAGCAGCAGCTCAGAAGGCGCGGAGCTCACGGCAGCAAGCCGCCCGCCTCCAGCCCTGCAGAACTAATCGATCACCCGAGAGCTTCCAAACGCTTCCTGAATGCCTCCTAGCGAGGAGCGAAGCGCATCAACGGGATGTTATTTCAAAAAGAAAAATAAGCGCCAGCGAACTAACAACTCGGACTTACGCAACGCTTCTGCAGCCGGTTAGAAACGCTAAGCCGAGAAGTAGCCTGCACCCCCAGCTCTCAGCCGGGCACAGCCACGCGCGGTCAGCCAGCTCCGAAGCGGCGGCGGCACAGAGCTGGAGGAGCGCGCACAACGCAGCCGCTGTGCGGGAGCCTTTCCCGGAGCCGCACCTCCCGACCAGGATACCGCCAGCAGCGATGCGATGCGATGCGATGCTCCGACCCCTCCGCCCGCCCACAGCGGCCGCTCGCAGCACTCTCCTCCCTCCTCCACAGCCCACAGTCCCCGCTTCGGCAAAAGTTCTCTCTAGAGCCGTCCCGCAGAGCACCTCACAACGCCGGTCCGCTCCGCTGCCCGACAGGGGGGAGGAGGCGATACACTGCTAATTGCCGAGCGCCCACAAAGCACTACCTTACCCACCCGCAGCCGCTAGAGATTTCTTATCGGTGCGCTTGCCGGTTCGGTGGTCGCGAGGAGAAAGCGCTGAGGCTGCAGAGCCGGAGCCCCGTGCACGACGCGCACCCGCCGCCTTGCAGCAGGGCTCGGCCCCCGCCCGCCGCTCAGCCACAATCTGGCAGCTGCCGACCCGCGCTCCCCGCAAGCAGCTCCCTATCTGGCAGCTCCCGGCACTGACCTCCCCGGCGGCGGCGGCTCCTCCATGGCGGCGGCGGCGGCGGCAGGGAGCGGTGCGGCGACGTCTCTCATGCATGCACCAAGGCCACCATGGCGGTGGATAGCAGTGCGCGGCCCGACCCGGCCCGCTGCGGCGCCGGAGGTGCAGCGGCGGAGGAGGGGACGGGGGTGGGAGCTCTACCCGGCTGCAGGGACCCGGCCGCCAAGAGCCGCCCGCGCGGCCGCCATCTTAGAATCAGCCTCACGGGGCAGCGAAGCCGGGAGCATCGCTACGGCGCGCGAGGAGGGACTCGCCGAGCCACAGGCGCTCTGTGCGCCGTGGTCGGACGGGTGCGGTGGGGGCAGTGCTTCCCGCCCGGGACGCGCGGTGCTCTCTGTGCCGCTGCCGCCCGCCCTCTGGCCGGAGGCGGGTGGAAGGAACAGGGTGCGCCTCGGGAGCGGGGCGTTCTCGTCTGCGAGATCAGGGGACGGCGGAGGGGGTACTGCCCAGGACGGGAGGACCCGATTTCTGCGCCAGCTGATGAGAGAGCCGGTTTATGCGGGTTGTTTTGGGCGCCGGGGGATGCAGGGAGCTGCCGTCCCGGCGCTTGTTGGCCTCCCGGCGGGATGAGTAGCTCTAGGTTGTCCCACGGCAGCCTGCCGTGAGGCGGCTCTCACCAAGAAAAGAGAGGGACGCAGCCCTGCCTCACGCTGCAGTATTATGCGTGTTGTTTCTTCGGTTTTTTGAGGAAACCACGTTGATCAGCGTGCTCGCTTGTTCCCTGTTGGTTATCCCAGAGCTGCTGTCCTTCAGGTGGTTTACGGAACTGTTCCTGACATCCGCAGTTCACAGTGAGTGAGCAGCACGGACGTTAGCATCCGGGACAGAGAGAAAGTCAAAGTTAGTGATAACTGCGAGGAAGGCTGCAGGGTTTACCTGAATATTTACCATCTCTGGGTGCTTGGGCGATGACCTACACATGCAGAGGTTGGAGCCACCCAAATAGTTCAAAGGCATCTGAAAGTCTGGAGGCCCTGCAGTGACTTCCACTCTCACCAAAGAACAATCAGGAGAGAGCAGTTATACACACAGGGGGAGGGGTTTGGGGAAAGCAGGCTTCGTGCTCCTGGAACAGCTTGTTTCATTTTACAAACATTCTAAAGCCTACAGCAGTGCTGTTTATCAGCTTAAAACAAAGACCTGAAACCACATGATCCATTTGGAAATATAGGGAGGAAAATGTAATTTCCTGAACTACATCTATAACTTGGCTGGAATACGGGCTAACGCCCTTCAAATGCAGAGAAATGCAACGGGTTGGTTAAATATTCCAGTTGGTGAGAACCTCATCTTTTGTATTTTATAGGACTGGATGAAGAGCAGCAAACCCTGGCACTGGAATCGGTGCTCACTTCTGCTTTGTGCTTAATTCCTCAATTAAATTAATTATACAGTAAATTTACACTGATTTCTTTCATTGCATGGCAGTGGCTTTTAGCATTATTTTCAGCTATATTATGGGTCATCATCTGACACCAGTCACTGTAATCTTGTGTTAGAAGCATGTTTTCCTTAGCTAGCAAAAAAAAATGTATGCATCTGATGTCTTATGCCATACGGGTGATGATGTGATAGTATAGATGTGTTGACACTCCAGGGACACATGACAGAGGTGGAAATGGGGACTTCCCACCACTGCTTTCTATGAACATGTAGATAATTTACTGAAGTAAATCAGGGTTCACTGCAGCCTCTCAAATGGGGAGAGCCAGAAAAAAAAATTCAGCATGCCTCTTTTCCTGATACTGCAACCCAGCATCACATTTCTGTGGTGCACCAATGGAGAGTATGCTAAAACTACAAATAATGACAAGCAAGGCAAGCCTGTAACTTTGATGTGACAGCACTTCCTTGCATACAGTAGGCCATAGCGAGCAACAAAGCTGCTGGCATCAAAAGGAGAGTGTGTAAATCTCTCTCCTTATCTCCTTAACAGAGAAGATTCATGAAAGGCCTGCAGAGAACACAGATGGACAGGAAAAAAGATTCAGGAGTGTATGTAGCTGATACATAAGACTGTCAGAGCTTATTTGTAGATGATATTTAGACATGCAAAAATGAAAAAAATTACAGAGATCTTTCAGTTCTTTTAGTGATTTTCTCTTCACTTAGGGAATGTTCTTTTATATCAAAGGCTCAATGACTGCCATTTTGTGAGTCTAAGTATACCAGATGCATGAAAATTGATAAAGTTGTTCAGTTTGATTCTACTGCTAAAACATAGAAAGGTACAAAAAGAGTAGAGACATCACAATAAATGTACCCAAAAAATGAGTTAAAAACATTAGAAATTTTAATGGATTTCAATTCCTGAGGTGATAATTAATCATGACCCTGGAATTATAATATCAGTCCAGACTGTGCATGCAAGTGTACTCTTGTAATCTGTGAGTTCTACAGCTATATACAAAAAAAAAAAAAAAAAAAAAAAAAAGAGGAATAAGGAAAAGAAAGATACAGCCTGTGTAAATATTTAAATCTGTTATAAAAATAACTTTCAAGTTGTTGCAGTAACTGTCACAGGCTCAGACTTTCTTTTTTTTTTTTTTTTCAAGCAGAGTTAATGAAACATAGTAATCAAATGGTCGTTCGCTATGAATTTACATGCAAAAATAATATCCTGGTCAATAACAGTATTGTAGATTTAGGTTTTCTTTCCAAGAAATTATTTGATTTCTATGAACAGCTATTTAAAAGCAAAGGGAAGTTAATTAAATGTAGTCCCACTCTCAGCAGCAGACACTGGAAAGCAGCCTGTTAGATACAATTAGTCCAGCTCTAGTTAAATCTGCTGAAGATAGAATTGTCATTTTTTCTTGGTCACAGGTTAGAAATGCTCTTCTGCAGATCTATGAAAAATAAAGCATGAACCATACCTGCATTTGATATGTGGCAGACCACGTGACAACATTTCTTTCTTATGTAGATATTGCAGCTATTCACCCCAGAGCCAAAATAAAATACCGAGATGCATTTCTACCTGGAAATAAGCAGATTTGTCCATCTACAGTTTTGTTGCTTTCACAGAAGATCAGGATGTTTGGCGTAGTTTTTTTTGAAAGAAAGAGGACTGTGTTTTCAGTGTCATATAGCTTGAGATTTGCTCCAATTGATTTGAAGTGTGAACCTCTGAAAGAAATTAAGGAATTGCACTGTATGGCTCTGTTCAATCATCTGTTAACCACTGTGATTCATTCACTTCAGAAGCTTGCATAATAACTGCCAAAGCTTGTTCAGCAGCATGATTTAACAGCCATGCTATAATAGGAGCCAGCAAGCTTGATGGAGGTAGAGTATTTCTGTCCAAACACTGTCATCTCACATGCTGCATGTCAGATCACACAAGGCCTGATATCATTGACTCATCACTATTAAAAGAGTATTTGTAAGTAGCAGTGGCATGAGGTCAGAAACGTTCCTGGGATTACTGTTTTATCACTTCAACTCTGGGTTTTTTTTGTTGGTTGCTTTTTTTTTCTTTTTTTTTTTTTTTTTTGGTACTTCCTGTCCTAAAAAGCAACTGTGTGCAGCTATTATTAAAACAAAATGACCCATGAGAGGAAGATGAGCCTGAGTTGTGCTTAAAGCAGTATGATTTTGGTGTGTAGAGCTGTCCTGGGGAATAGTGCCTGTACTGCCGGGCAGAGCTACAATCACGGACAGATACTCAAAGTTACCTAGAGACTGAGCATGGAAATGACCATCTTTAGATATAGATAGACTCAAAAAAATTTCCGTGGATACAGTAGCTCATATCTTCCCAATATCTTACTTTAGACCGGTCAATAAAACCTGAGCTGAATTTAGTACAGCTTGAACATATCAGTGTGAGTCCATTTAAAGCTAACTTGTTTCCTGTTAATCACAGTATAATTCTTTCCCCAACCGTATTATAGACATACTCAGTAACCAACCATGGGATATTCTTAAAGAACGACGATTATGGCAGTGCTTTGTCTCTGTTTGAGTTTGATATAGTATAACATATCCAAAGAAACTCCACTGAAGAATCCTCTGAAGTCACATTTTTTAGACCTAGAGCATACCCAGTTGCTTTCTATGTATGTCTGGCAGTGCAATTTAGTGCCTCATTGCATGTAACACTTGGTATTTTTGTGGATTTTGTGTGTCTGAACACTAGCTTATATTACAAGTTCTAGAGATGCTATTTGTTTTGTTTTTGGGGTTTTTTTTGTCAGCTCAGAAAACAATTTAAAAGTTCCATACTCTGTCTTTTAAAATAACTAGTTGTGCATCTGAGATTCTTCCTATATCTGCCTTACAGCAGCTGCAAAACAGCTGTGAGATCTATATCAAGCTTTCCTGCCTAGCAATACCTTCTACAGCTCTGGTCCACTGCTCCTCCATCCAACAGCTTTGTGTAAAGTGAGAGTAGTCACAGGAAAGCAGTATAGCTGCTATATTCCTTCATCTCAGTAGGTCATGGCTTTTTCATCAGCTCTATGACGTTATAAGCAACTATGAGAAAATTTTAATCTTCATTTAATGTTAATCTCTGCAAACATTTACATACTTATCAATTCATTTATATAATAGGCATATCGAAATCAGCGGGACAGCCCCAAGAGAATAGTTACTCATATATACAGCAATGTTTAGAGGATCTGTTTCCACCTTCTGCTCTGAATCATCTGGAATAATTTAACACCCATGATTTCACAAGGTGAATTAATCTGTCATGATTTTATCCTGTTGATAGTTCAGGCACTAATGTATTCTCCCTTTGTCACAATGCACCCCTGTCTGGGGGATGTCAAGTTTGTATCTCATTCTACAACTCCCACTGTCTCAAATTCCTCTATTTCTTTCTTACCTTACACTTACATCTATCCACTTCATTAGTTAAAAAACAAAAAAAAACTGTTAACTCATTATGAACATTACTATTTCCATGCTTCTAAATAACTGTACATTGATCCTTCACTATAAACCGCTAAAGAGATATTCACCTGCCATTTTATGTTATTTCAGTGCATTCCAAGTTTTTTTTCTCATTTGTGTCTTGTTGTTCCCTATCATTATTTTTATAATTGTTTTGAGTCTTCTCATCTTCACAGGTACTGATGATTATTTTAAGACACGTCCTCGGTAAGAAACATAGCACATAGCACTTGAAATAAGTGTTGAATGATGGGAGCTAATCTGCTTTCCTGGCAACAGGAACCTCTCCAGCTACAGCCAGTTGAGGAATCCAGTTTGTGACCCTTGTACCACAGAGCTAAGGTCTCTGTGACACACTCTGCTGAGCAGCTGCAGAAGATACAGCATCTGGGCATTTAGCACCTTTATGAGCCAGTTTGGAAAGAGACCTGGAAGTTAGTTATGAATGCTACTTCTGAAACTTTCCTAGATTAAAATAACAGAAAACTATGAAGGAAAAATTTGGAAGATCTATGAAAAACTTGTTGTCAAAGCTTAACAGCTCTTTCATCATTTTTTCTTTACTTTCCCTCCTGACTTTCAACTAAACAAAACTCATATCCTATAAAATTTTAAAGAGTCTATTTTCCCTATCCACTATGTAAATTGGAGTTCACACATCCTTCTCTAAAGAATCAGACATACAGCATTTGTTTGACCTACTTAGCACCTTTAACTGAGATGAGAAATCCCTAGGATCTCCACTATGTTATAAATCCATTCTAGTTGTTATCCAGGCGATGAATTGTAATGCAAAGTTTTAGGCCTGTTTGCTTGACTGGCAGTTATATGCCTTTTCAAAGACAGATTCCTGAATCCTGAAACTCAAAACAGCTTTGAGAAGCTCTTATTTCTCAAAAGCATGAATCTTACCCCATTTACACCTTTTTTCTGTCATCCTCCTTCCTGTCCCCCATGTGCCTGAATAACGTATATGCATCCATCACAGTTGCAGAGGCTGCACACAAGTGGAATTGCCTTTGTACATAGTTTGAAAAACTGCCTTTTGGCAATGGACCCCCTGTGAATTTCTGTTTCCTATGTAATCCTGTTATCTCACAGATGACATAACAGTTCATTCTTTCTCATTTGTTGACAAGAAAATGTGTTACAGATAAAGGAAATATAATCTACTTCCACTGTGTTGACTACCATGTGATTTAGAGCTACCTACATAACCTCGATTTGGAAAGAGGAAAAATATTTTTTGCAAAATTTGAAAACTATTTGGTTTTGTTTTAATGTAAGTCTCTTCTATAACCATAGCAACAGTCTTACTGAAAGTGTTCTGTTCATAATTATTGAAAGGGTGCATCATTTTGCTTTTTTTCCTAGGTTTATAATTGTCTAAAAATCTTCAAAATAATAGTTTCCAGATTCAGGCCTTCTCCAAGAAAAAGAGGTGCCCTAATTTCTACAAAGTGCATCTAGCAATTTCAAATCTAATTAATGTCCTCTCATTCCCAAGGAAAAAAAAAAAGATGGATTATTTTTCCTCTTTTTTTTTTTCCTTAAAAAAAAAAGAAAAAAAAAAAAAAAAAGAAAAAAAAGAGAAGGGAAAAGAGAAAAGCACACAAAGTGATTTGGAATTAGTTTGGATGAATAATACGTGAGAAAAACCATCATTCACTGAGATAAACACGAATGCATCTCTAACTCAGTTGAAGGGCTGTGCAGTCACTGCTTCACAGTCGGTTCCACACTGAAGCTAAGGGAAGAGCAGACTGCCAGGACAATATTTATTTCTAATGCATCTGCCACAGGAATATTCAGTAACATAATCTGAAGCAACAGTGTTAATTAACAAGCATTATATGTTTATATTGGTTTTGTTTAAAACACAAAGATAAAGTTCCTATTACCTTTATGGATGTAGTGTTAGTCTTACAATGCTGTCACTGATATATCATGACTGTATTCTCCATGAGACCAAAAAGAAACCCAAAAAATCAAAGAGAAAGCTTTTTAAGTGATGTCACCAATTTTAACCAATTTTTATTTTAGAATGTTATGTATCCCAAACATTACAGTACAAACTTGTAACTGTAATCTGTTTTTCTTAGCACTGCAGATGCCTTTGCAATTGTCATTTGTTTTGTTTTGTTTCTTTAATATGATTGGTATTGTCACCTTTGGGTGGATCTCACTGTGACTGTGAGGATAAAACACTTTGTTTTTTAAGAGTAGCTGTACTTTAAACATATTCAGATCCATGGCTGTTGCTTGCTACTATAGTGATAATCAGAAAGAAAAACACAGATGACAAAATTTTCTTAGTTCTTGTTTTTAACCAAGAAAAATAGAATTATATAGTGTATTGATGGAGAATGGTGTGACTGTTGAAGCTGAGGATCTGTCATTGCTCCATTCTTCCTCTCTTACTGGCTGAGTGTTGTTAAATGTTTTTAAACCTGTTTCTGACATTTTCCATATTTTGAACTCTAGATTTCTTCCTTCTTAATCTAAGCAGAGACAGCAGTCAATTAGCCCTGCTACTTAGACTGAGCATTAAGATACTAACACAAAGCATCCTGAACTCAGTTGAAAGACTCCAGCTTCCTAATGGTTCGTGGAGGTTTTGCAAATCTAGGAAAAACTTCTTATCTGGATATTCAGCAAGTAGATTTAAACTGGGTGAGCACACATTATTCTTTTGGTAGTTCTGGAGAGGGACTGCTGATGAGCTTGCTTGTTCACTTGTTGGAAGCATTCAGTCTGGGTCAGTTACAAAACTTTATCACACATTACATAACTGCAACCTGCTTGCATGAGATCATAGAATTATTTATCTTCTAACTAGCTCTTCAGATGGACCTTTGAGTCATAGCTGATCTGGAGTGGATCCATCAGTGATCCATGAAGAACATTAGTAGTGTGGAGCATCTGAGAAGAAGCTGAGAGACATGTAATGTTCAGCTTTCAGGAGGATAGAAGGCTCAGGAAGGATCTTACCAAAGGGAATAAATACTTGATATCTGGGAGTGGTGTCCAGTGAAAGGACAAGAGGCAATGGGCACAGACTGGAAGACAGGAAATTCTGTTCAAACATGAGAAAAACTTCCCTTGCCACTAGGTTGGCTGAGCAACAGCACAGGTTGCTTAGACAGGTTATGGAGTTTTCATCCTTGGAAATATACAAAACTCCACTAATTGTGGCCCTAAACAACATGCTGTAGCTGACCCCTGCTTTGAGGAGGGGCACTGGGATAAAATGATCTTCAGAGGTACTCATCCACATCAGCCATTCTGTGATTCAGTGATCTGACTGATCTCATAAATGCTTTTCAATTACAACCAAACTCCAATACTCTGGAAAATAAAACTATTTAAAAGCACACAGCACCACAAAACTTTTGTTGTCATTTACAGTTGTCACATATTATGTGTTTGTTGTTGTAGTTGGTTGCTTTTTAAATTTTGGATCTTAAATAGAGAGCAGCTGAAGGTGAGAATTAAATTATTCCTTATCATTCACAATACTGTTAAGTAGCCACTTCTTCTGCATATTAAATAGTAACTTCCTGTCAGAAGAAGTTGCGTAAAGACTGTTAATATAAGATATAAGGACAGCTTTGTTGAAAATCTTTTTTTTCCTCCTTTATAAAGCTGTGTAGCTTCCTACTGGTAAAGTTTTGCAGTCAGGCTGACATCCTGCCTTTTCTGAATTTTATGCCTGAGCTGTTAGTAAGGTGTTTTAAGAAACACTTACAGAAAAATTAACATCAATAATGTATTTTGCTTTCATACTTCAATTAATGAAAAAATCTTGATATTAAAATTCCATAAATAATAAACCTTTGATTTTACATGTCAAATAAATCAAGTCTGTCTGATGTATTTTAATTATCACAATCTGCATTCAAATAATAATCTGCAAGCGTGTTTAGTGTGGAAAGTACCTAAAATTTATTTATGCTACTAAAATTATCTGGTTACCTTTCATGCTACATTTATTATAGCTCTTCAAAATGTCTGTGCCATACTCACAACAGCCTGCCAACAAGAGTGCTGAATAAGAGGAATTCACTATGAATGGATCCCTCTCCTGGAGCCACTAGCTCAGAAAGAGAGAAGTTCTGTGTGTGTAATCATTTGTCTAAAGAGGTTAAGGGCAGAGCTATCAAAATTACTCTCTGATGCAATGCAGTAAGTATGAGTCTCCTAGAAAGCTGCAAGTTGTAGGTGTCACAGTCACAGCCAGTAGGATTACCATGACAGAATCTCAGTTCCTCTAAACTGTAAGGTCAGATGATCTTTCTATTAATTTTAAGTATTTCTGCCCGAGGAAGCAGTAACGAGCAAGCAGCCTTTTAAATGTGAAAACAAAGGTCTTTCCTATTTGAGCATTGTCACTTTCGTCCACAGTTCATGGAATGCTACTAGCAATTTTTACTGCAAACCACAAGTGGATTACTAGCTTAACAACCACAGAGCCTTATAACCATGTGTCACTCCAAGGATTCAGCATGAAACTGTATTGGTTTAGAAAGGTTTAGAAGATAGGTTTAGAAGCTGATTATGAAAAAGTGTCCTTCCGCATATAAAAATAATCTGAAAGACACTGTCTAAAAATGTACAGTATCTGTATTGAAAACCACATAAAGAATCAGCCAGCTTACCTACATGATGTTACAAAGTAGATCTGTTAGTCTTTCTACCTGGTTCTCTTCAATATGATTCATTCTTTGCCTTTATTTTAAAATTTAATTTAGAAAGATACTGTATAATATGGAGGAGTTAAATTAAGAAATATCCTTAGATAAGTATAATTACAACCAAAATATGTCCCATCCAGATGTAATATTAAATGGTAGGTCCTGTTAGCAATCGCGGGTATATAAAGCAGAAACAGACAGTGCAGAAGAGAAGAAAAAAAGAGGAGAGTGAAGATGCTGCTTTTCTAGTGTAAACAGCATTATACTAACCTGTTTGAAGTATCTGTTTAACAATAGCTGACTGGACTAAACTTAGCAGCTACTTTTCAAAGCAAGAAGCCTACCTTGAAATAACTAATTGTGAACTAATTTTTGTCATTTATTACAACATGTATATGAACTATACTTCTCACTTCTGTATACTGCTTGATTTTTCTGCTCCACATGCTTGAATTACTTGACACTTTGTTCAATAGCATTCTTACTTAGAGTGCTCTATTTCTTATGATCTGCAAAGCTGAAAAAGGGTTTCTTAGTGTATTTATATTGGGTATAAACCAGCAGAACAATAGATACAGCTCCAGCAGCACTTGTGAGTGCAACTGAATCTCTTCCTATTGCAGTATGAAACTAATAAGGTGCTTTTTCTACCAGAGTAGCTAAATCAATAATTGAGCTGATGCTGTCATACCTTATAGACACCTATCATTAGCTTACTGTGAAATATGCATTTATTGTGCATGCAAATAGGGAAAACATGCATTCTTATCAATAGACCGAAACCCAGTTTCAGTGTCAGTAAGCCACATGTTCTTTCACCAAGAGCAAAGAACTCAGCTGCCTGGGTTGCCCAGCCTAATTGTCAATACTTAGCCAGCTTGCTCCCCATCTGCCAACCACATTATCAGAGCAGAATCTGGACTCATTGGTTATAAACAGAAGTCTGCATGTTCTTCTTAGCACCACCAACAACCCTAATATTCAAGGTTCTTTTTTCTTTAAATAGCTAGATAGGGAAATAAATCTTTCTAAACCCTTAGACTACACCTAGAAAAGTTAATTAATATAAACATTTTTCAGTCTGGCTCAAGATCATTAAGCCAAGAGAGCCTGTTTTGCATGAAGAGCAAAGATACAGAGAGAACTGTTAGGCCCACTATCTCTGAACATATTTGCAAATGTATGTAGATATGCATTTAATCTGCATTTAGTAGGGCTAAGCCTCAAATAAAACAGCAAAATCCAAGACCTGCAAATTCAGCAGTGATCTGGCAAGAAATCCCTGTGGCTTTTCAGGAGGATGAGGTCACTGCAGATGGCCAGACACATCCCAGACCAGCTCATTTTTGCTGCAGGCCTCTTTGGTCCTGTTCTGTAGAGTCCTGACTTGCCATGAATCTTAGAGGGAACTGCACTGCAAGGCTTCTGCTTGCTTCCCTTTTGTTCAAGAGCTCCATCTCCTCACCTCCATGTGTAGCAGCAGCATAGCCCACACTGACTTGACTTTCAGGTTATTGTGATGTGAGTCATAAGCATGCTACATGCTGCATTATATCTGCAAGGGTAAGGGAAAGGACAATGTGACTTTTGCTCTTGGTTGGACTTCAACAAAGCCACAGGAAGAAAACTCCAGAGTAAATTGTTTACGGACTCTGGTTCTCTCTGCCTAGCTCCCTAGTATAGTTGCAGGACAATTCAAGTTACACTTGTTTATGGAAGGTGTAACCTCTGACTTGGGCTGCCTAGCTGGCTCAACAAGCAGGAACGGGTCAGGGTGATGCAAGCCCTGCCCGTGCCCTTCCCTGCCAGACTATTTGTTCCCTCATAGGTATCAAGCAGACTGCCACTTTCAAGTGTGGGAGTAAAAGAGGTGCACAGCCTTCTTTGAGAGCTGCTGACAAAAATAGCTTGGCATTATTACAGTATTTTTAGTACATTTACTAATTTTATTTAGGTGAAAGGAGGCAAAATAAGGAATTCAGGAGAGCAAGCAGAAAATACAACAGCTGTTTGGTAAATGACTGCTGAACCAATAATTGACTATTATGGTGCTAGAACAATTTAATTGCCAGCAAAGACCAGTTGAGAGCCTTACAGTAGTAAAGGATACTAGAAGGAAGAAGGGAAGCTTGCTAATCTGTACTGGTGAAAACGCCAATGTATTCACTGTGTATGGAATTTATTTTTGAGGTGTTTCCAGGAAAAGTATAATAGTGAATAAAGTGTGCTTCATCCACAAAAATATAATTTCAAGTGCTTGTAGAAATGGAACAGTCACCAGCTCTTAAGACATTGATTGCCTAAAAATGGATCCTTTCAAGAGAAGAAGGACAATAAACCATTCTTGCAGGAAAACTCAGTTGCTAACAACATTAGCCAAGCTTAAAATTTGTTAGAGAGTGGGAGGTAAGGATGTACAAAATCATACTGGGCTTAAGGTTACAACTGGACAAGCAATGTATTATTTTCCTTTCACTGAACAAAGTCAAATCCTTGTCCTGTTTATGGGCTGCCTATTAACAGCTTTTAAAATTGCAAAACAAAAACCCTTCCAAATGCGTCATAAATTGAAATTACTTGTACAAAACATTCATCAAACAAGTTTAAGCTAATGCCTGTTGCAAATATTCCTTGGAGTATTCGACATTTGCGCTATGATATTTGTGTTCTGAGTGACATTCATTATACATTTATGCTGCATGAGCAAGTGCTTCTTCACTCAGAATACTGCTGCTTTTCTACACTCAGCTGACTAATGTACAGGGAGCCATTGTGTTCCCCTTCTGCCAAATCTCTGAAAACAAGGGAAGGTGGGAGATGAATGGTGCACTGGTCAGTCTTGTGCTGGTCTGTTTGGTCAGTGGTGATATTTCCCTTTTTGATTAAAGAAATTTCAGCTACCAGGATGGCATACACTTTGGCAGATAAGCAAAGAAAATCTTTTGACAGTTGTTAAAGAGCTAATAGGAGATAAGAATGCAAGGATTTTGTTTTACACTGCTTCCAAGGTTTCCATTTGTACCAAAGCATAAGGAAGAATTCTTTAAGTCCTGGCTCTAAGAGCCTGCAAATATAAATTCAGATTAAACTTCTATTTTCGGTTTTGAACTAAAAAGCCTGAAGACATGATCCAGAGACATTCTAAATTTTCAGTAGGCAAAACAGACAGCAAGCAAAAAAGGATCTACATACTAAGGCCAGCCTCCTCATTCTGGGGACCTGAATCATGACTTCTGAATGCTTGAGTTAGCAATTCTGTATTTAGCAGTGAACAAAATGTTCAAAAATAGCTTCTCACTATTTGTACAGCTATATTTATGCTTGCTAAAAGCCATGCTAAGCTGTTAAAAAAAGAAACCCAAACCTTGGCAGTTAGCAGAGCGTGCCCACAGAGATCAATGCGCAACAGTGTCTCTTGAAACTGAAGTTCTCAACTCTTTCTTCTCTGCAGTGAATGGGACTGATGGGCTGTTCTGATGAACTCCTCCTCTTCTACTACTTTTCCTTTAAGCCTGAAAGCAAGAGCATAGAAATTGAACTTCCAACAAAGCAGGTTCACCAGGCAAAATAAATATGTCCTTTTTAAAGTGAAAACCTGTGATCTCAGAACTTACGTAATTGGAAAACTGTAAACAGTGTTCCTGATTGAATGCAGACAAGTTTTAACCAATTACCTGCATTTCCTACTCATCTGCTCCAGTCTGATTTATCTCTTGATCTTATCACATCTAATCTTTTAGACAGCTGGTTGTTTGGAGCAGAGACCATCTCTTTCGTTATTCTGTTACAATAACAGAAAATAACCAGATAGAACCTTTTTCACTCTGCTGTATTGTAAACATTAAATAAATAACAATTTTGGTCAATTTGTATTCTCAGTATTGTGTCTAAAGCCACGATGGAGTACGCAAAGTGCTGAAATCAATTTGTTCGGGCCTCTCGCTGGGAAAGTTCCTCATTCCAGAACACAGGCTTTAAAAGCTTACAAGAGTAATGCAAATAAGTTTTCTTCTCTAGCATGTGTTTTCTTTTATACATATGTATTTTAGATGCAAATTGAAACTATTATGTTAAAACAATGTCCCATGTGTTCTATGTTGTCATCCTCAGTGCTATAGAAACTCTACAGCTACTCCACTCCAAATCCTTGATATAAACACTTTACCTGATGTCCAGAATCAGAGCCTAGCCAACATCACCTCAAAGCAGGCACCAGCCCATTCTTACCCCAACCTGCTTGAGCAAGTGTCAATCAACCACAGCTGCACCTCCTTTAGGGCACCAGCTGTTCTAAATGTGCTGGTCTGGGGGAGCAGAAAAGGAGTGCAGGGTATGTCTGTCATTGCACTTAATAGCACACACAAATAAACAAAAAGCCCTAAAATTCTTAAAACAAATGCCACAAATAAACCCACAAATTAGCAAAAGTCTGTAAAAAGAGAATGTATACCACTCCAACAGTGGCCTCCTGTATTTCTCAAACTAAAACGTGGCAATACTGCAATCCACTAACCTGTATGCAGGCCCATGCCTGCATATGGAGGATGGAAAATCCTCCATGTCTCATTTTAATTTTCAAGTGACTTATTTGCCCAGAATTCCTGTATGTCCTCCCTCTCTAGAACTTGTTACATCTCTGTGTTGTAAAGTCACATTGCGTTATTTGAGCTATTTACTGCTCTATGTAATTTTCTTATCTGTACATGATTACATGAATATGTTGCACATATTTTAATGAGACAAACTTGTAAAATATGATGGCATGTGCAACTCTGGTAATGAATCTAAAGATTAACAGATTTTAAACTATGCAAAGGTGTTCTGAATGACTGCATGCTTTGACAAATGTAGCTAGTTGTATAATGATGTTTTGATAGCTTCTGCAAGGCAGATTCTTGCACATTATTCAGTAGAGCATAACTTAACATTTCATTAAATATGTAAAAGAAGGACATGGAAATAACCCTGATTTTTATCTCCATTAGTGGCCTACGTCCTAACATTCTCTCACTGATACATCATTGATGTATCATCAATCTGGATTATAATAATAATATAATGTATAATCCAGAAAAAAAGGCACCTGGGCAGTGAGATAATATAAGGACACATTGCCAAGTAATTTTTAAAGTTAGTTTCAAAAATGACACTTCTGTGTAAGAAGTAAAATACATGCTGGGTGAACTATGTGAGTAACTATGCAGTGTGATCTGCCCCTGCGCTGGCTCTGTATCAGTTCCTTCTGTCATGTAGGAAGGGCATTCACTTTCTCCCCAACTGCTACCTTCCCTCCTGGGCAACAAGCTGTCACAGCAACAAGACACCAAAAAGAGAACAATCCCATGAGAAACAAGGGTTTTTCTGCTTTTCTACAAATTCTAGCTCTGCAGAGGTGAAATCTGCTCTTCAGTGAACATTCAGACCATCTACCTGAGGAAGTGCCCTTTCAGGACTACCAACAAAAATGATAGTGATAGTTTTTTCAGTTGAGCTCTTTCAGCTTTTTGCAGAAATCATTATGTTTGTTCCTAGCCTGATCTGATACTGATTCTTCCTTTTCCCAAAATACTGGGTTCTTTTAATATAAATTTGCCCATGCTCTCATTCTGTTACTTTATAAAAAAGACAAAAACTCTTCATTAATAGGAGCTGCTATTATGCTACTCATTTTCCATATAAAATTCTTTAGAGTGAAATGCAAAACCCACATGCTCTTCCAGAAGATCTAAAAAATGTGATTATAATAACACAGTCTGTTTGTCAGTCCAGCTTCCAACCCTGTACTCAGCAGGAAAAGTCACAGCAAACGTAAGCACGGAAAAAAATATGTAAAAGGTCCTTGCTAAATATTACATTTGTGTATCTGTAGGGATAAGGATGACAGCTAGCCAAGTGCCCTGAGCATTCAATTTCTCCATTGAGAGAAACTATGTTCACAGTATTTTCTCTACAAAGACGTCTCTTAGCTTGGATTCTTTCCTACAGTGTTGAATGCCAGCTTGTTCTGGAAAGAAAAGGAAGGGATTTAAAAAGACATGAAACCAAAGGGACTTCTGGTTAGATGAGCAATTATAACAAAAGAAAGTTTGTATTTTTTAGGCAGGCAGAAATTGCTTCTTTACAGTAGACACACGAGATAATTTTATTTCTGTTAAATAACTTCCTCTGCTTGTAATGCCCTTTTTGTGTACTAGGTAACTCTTCTACATGTGAAATTAAGTAACTATTAGAATGGCAGGAGGAGCCCTCATAAAAATTGTATGACTCAGCTCTTTTTTTCTGCACTGGCACCAAATGTCCGAGAAAGACTGGCTGAAAGTAGAGAAGCCTTTTCTGCAGTTCTTGTACTTAGGGAAGTGTTGGCATTGTTTATTTTATGGGCCCCCTTTGACCTCTTGATTCCCTGCCCTTCTGCTCTTTGCTGCTCATCCCTGCAGAGGGATGTTCTGAGCCAGAAACTGTACACAGGATCATAGGTTGGCTTAGCTGAATGGGACCATAAAAGCCTCCCAGTTCCAACCCCCTGCCGTGGGCAAGGTTCCTACCCACCAGATCAAGCTGCCCAGGGCCCCATCCAACCTGGCCTTGACCACCTTCAGAGATGGGGTATCCAGAACTACTCTGGGCAATCTGGTGAAAGACTTTTCTTACCAGTAGGTGGTCAGATGGGCCCACTAATCCCACTGAACTTCCCCTGTCTGTCCTGACTGTTCCTTCAGTCTCTGGCTGACTAGGGCAGGCTGGCAGGCTCTAAGTCCTGCAGCTCTGCATTTGGACCCAGAACAGCTGCACCTTTTTCTGTTTCTTTCTAAACCCACTGCATGACAAGCCAAGCTACTTCCTCAGACTCTGAGCCAAATAACTGCCAGGCTTGCTGAACATTTGCTCCTTACACAAGTGGAATGATTTACTGCTTTATGGGCAGCAGACCACCCAAGTGGAGAGCGCCCCAACAAGATGGATGCCTCCTCGGTGTCAGGGCCTGGTCCTCACAAGACATGCAGGGCAAGGACAACCAGCAGCAGGGATCTATGAAGAGGAAACTGCTTCTTCCCACACTGGTCTGTACCAGGAGGTAACTTGAGGGTGGCCTGCAACTACTTCATAGAGGAAGCCCACATCAGACAGTATCTGCTCCCCTGACCAGAGATATTACAGGTACCAGCTGAGTAGAATAAATGATGTGGGGTATTTCTCAGCATCTGTGGGAGCTCTGCAGTACAATTTGAGTTTGAAGTTATTTCACCTCCATTGCCCTTTGGAACAAGCCACCCTGTCACCTGATAGAGACCACATCTGGCAGCAGGTCTCTATGGTTAAGCCATATGTGCACAAGTCAAGGACTCGAGAACACTCAGATCAGTCACGGTGCCACTGGTATGCAGCAAGAGGTGTGGGAATGAGCATGAGCATGCAAGAGAACGAATACACAGGAGAGGTGTGGGAAGGAGTCACACCTGGGGCTTTTAGCAGATGGCCTCATCCATCCCTATCAACCTGAGTCATGCGGCCAGGCGCTGTGGCCAGGAACTGCCACTTTAGTCACCTCTGTTACCACAGCAGGCCACATCACTCGATCTCTTCTGCTGCCTATTCATTTCAACCTGCTTTGTAAAGAGAAGTCAGATGAACTATTATGATGAGCTGGATTAAGAGGTTATCATCCCAACTATTTGCTATGGCTTGACCGCTCAAGTTCAGCTACTTTGTTCTTTGAAATCATACAAGCATCAAAGCAAACCAACCTGCTAATGACAGCATGTGGAGGAGTGGGTTAATAGAGTGAAAGTTTTGACGAAATAGTCTGATTTCAGGGACAGCTGAAACTTTATCTGCTTGTGATGTAAGTAAAGTTATAGATATGTCTTACATGGAAATAGCAGTTATTTCAGTCCAAGCACATGGGAGCTTTTATGCTGAGGCCACAGATTGGTATGCTCAGATGATGTGCTCTTTTCAAAAGGTGATCACTCTGAGCAGATAGCTGAAAAACAGTGGTTGGTTACAGGCAACAATATTAAACCAGCAAAGGTGCTTGTACTCTGAATATTAAACTATCCTATCTGTTACTATAAATTCCAGATAATCTGAAATGTCTATGCCCTTGTAAAAGGAGTATTTTAATAGTCAGTCAAACTAGATTAATAAAAGCCAAATATATTGTGAGTACAGTTTCTCTGCATTGAAGAGGGTAGTCTGAAATTTTCAGATGATCCCATCTGATTGCTTGTTCTCATCCACGGCATAAAAAATATACTGCCCAAACATCAGGAAAATGAAAGTAAGAGAGGATCACAATTAAAGTCTGTCTTCCCTGAAGAAACAGCTCCTAGTTCATCCTAGCCTAAAGCCCCTCTGGAAATGCACCAAACTGTCAAGGCTTCATGGAAATATTTGTTAAGTGAAAAATGAGAGCTCACTTTTTACTGGAAATACAGAGATTCTTTTCCTTCTAACTTAGACTCAGTCATACAGTGATCTAGGCAATGTCAGACATGCTAGGTGCTTGAAA